GGGCCTGCCCCCCCCCTGCTGTTAACTAGGGGCGAAGGAACGCTGCCAGATGGGGCCGGGGCGCTGCTGGCCTTCCCGCAGGTCGCCGCTCCGGGGCCGTCGCCGGCGCTCAGGCGTGAGCGAGACCTGCCGTGAAGCTGTGCTGAACTGTCCTGCATCGCAAGGCGAACCCCGAGGGGGAAGGAGCAGCCTCTGGGCCAGCCGACAGGGCTGCAGACTAGGAAGAGCAGCGGTGACGGGAATCACGCTGCTGTCAAGTGTCCGACAGGAGCGAACGCTGGCACCGGCGTCCTGGTCCGCATCTGGAAACCTGCTCCGCTGGTCCGGCTCCAGCTGCTGTAAACGTCAGTCCCTGGAGAAGTGGCGTAGGTGAGGCAGAAGTGCGTAAGCCGCTGGTCACGCGGCGCCTGTCCCGGGGCTGCCTTGCCCTTTTCTTTTTTTCCCCCCTCCTAACAGCCTGTCTCCCTCTCATCAAGTCACATGGAGGAAAAAAAAAAAAAACAAAAAAAAACTGCTGTACTCCATGGCATAGCTGACAGTATCGAATCGATCATGACAACACTAGTTGGTTGCCGGTGTTTCTTCCAAGGAGACATATATTTTTAATAAACAGAGAGTTGCAAAGAACTCCGGCTTTGAGACCTTCTTGCGGAGGCCGTCGTTGCGCGCCAGCCCCTGGGTTTTGGCACCGCTCTTAGCACCTATCGTAAGGTCGCTCCCCAGTAAACGTAAGTGTGAAAAGAACCAGGCTGAAGCAAACAAAAAAAACTTGTTTTCTGGGCTAAGGCAGTCACTAAGAACTGGCCTAAAAGAAAGCAAAAATAAAAAAAACTAAAAGGAAGTGGCTTTATTTGCAGCCATAACGAGGCCACTGTAAAGCGCTCTGGTCGGGCGCTGGCTTTGGGCTGACGGCTTGACCCAGCAAGTGCATTTTGGGCTGCAGCTTGGCTCGTGGGGAGTTTGTTCTGCGACTGTATCAAATGATAGGAGTTACGTGTTGCTGCATAATTGCCCACCATTGGGTATAAAGGCAGCAAAGTGCATATAGGCCCCGCTAATATGGAGTATCTTTTTTTTAACAGTTTACCATGCTATTTATGCATCAGAGAGAAAGAAGTTGTAAAGAGAAAGTTTGTTCTCAGGAAATAGCCAGGGGCTGCAGCTGAACCAGGCTCTAGCAACACCATACTGTACAGCTTCCTTTTTCTACTGCCTTTAAGTACAGTCAGTAGACGTGTTCACTGGAAGGCAACTGGTTTTACTGGTGTATGGCACATTCCTGTCTGAACCTGCTTTGTCATTTAGCTGAGGTGACTGAAAGGTGAGAGGGGTGGTTTGTCTCTTAAACCTTTCCAAGTCGCATGAGGAGTAAAGCGAGAGTTCAAGGTCCTGCTGAGCTTGTGCACAGTCTGGAGACAGGCCACAGCTTATGGAGCTCACTGGAAAATACAGCCAGTGGGTAACTTCCTATGACAAACTTTTGCTGAAAGATACTGGGAAGACAAGTTTTCGGAGCTGTTTTCTGTATGCACGTTCCCTCTTCAGGCAGCTATGGGCTACGAGCACCCAGGCACTGCTCCTGGGGCACCCACCGCCCCCCCTGTCGCTGGTATCTGCCTTTACAGGACAGAGCTTGGCTTATGGCCTCAGCATCTCTCACCTCATCAACCAAGAGCAAAGATGAAGAAAGGGTAGAAGGTGGGTGGTGAACGCACACATGGGCAGAACGCCCTGAACGCCCTAACGGTAGCTACCTTGTGGTGGTGGTTGCTAAGCAAATCTGAGCAAATACTGCTCCCAAAAATCAAACAGTTTCCCTACCAGAGCAACTAAGATTTGGGTGACTGCTGGCGGGGTCTGTCAGCCACATGCCGACAGCTTGAGGATGATAGGAAAGGAATGAAGAACTTGCTCCTTTGAAGCCTTTTCATGAGCTGTACTTCTGGCTAAGGACGGACGGCTCTGCCTACCAGGACCTTTGCAAAGTCCTTCTGGAGCATGAAAGAGCAGGGCAGCGTCCTGGGTGTGAAATGTGGGGTTGTTGGTGTTGTTTTCCCCTCTCCAAGATGCTCTGCTACAGATGTGATTGCAACAGGCAAGAAACTAATCTGCCCTAAACCACTCGTAGGAAATTAGACCATAAGCGGCTTGTGCTATAGAGAAACAGGTCTCTGCTTCTGTCTCTGCTGTTCTGGTTAATTAACTATCTCATTCTTGTTAACCGAAGGGAAGCACGGTATCTGCGAGGCTGCTGGACAAGGGTTTTAAAGCAATTTAATAACAGCTTTCTCCAAAAGTTTCTCCCCTTCAGTGCCTGAGATGCAGGCACCTGCCCGGCTGTCTTACACGTGGCCTTTCTTGCCCCTGATGCAGAGGCAGCGGAGGCCCCGTAACCTTCAAGGACTGCTCGTCTCCGCGTGCCTCAAACCTCCACAGCAGGCTGCCGGGCACTAAAGGCTCTGTGGTGAAAAATATGTTCTCATCATGTGAAAACAGTGTCTTTCACTGAAGGAACCTTATGTACCCTGTCCTTCAGTGTTTATTTCTCTTGCCTCCAAAAGGAGGGCCCGTGTTGTTTTAGTTGTTTTACCCCTCATTAAAAAGCATTAAATTGGTTGGGTCAGCTCGTGTAGCAGCTGCTAATGGTGCAAGCGTACAAGAGGCGACTGTCACTAGCAAAATCTCGTTGGGGCCACGTCTGCCTCGCTGCAGGGCTGCCGGTGGCATTTCCTCCCTATTCTTAGTTCCAGGGCACTACTTGACCAAAGCTTCTGCCCAATCCTCTAATGAGCTTCAGACTGCTTCCAATTACCTTGATTTCTGATTACTGTGATCACTTCGACTCTTCTGGCCTTGACCTTAGTGCTACTGGCCAGATCAGCCCCTCTTTCTTCCTTCCTCTCCAAAATGCTCCATGTAGCCACTGCGTTAATGGTGGGAGAGAGCCCTAAGGGCATCCCAAGTGGGATGGAGATCTCAAGTTGCTGGAGGGTCCGTGCTCCTACTGCAGGTGCTTCTGGATGAGCAGTGGCAAAAGGGGCTCTAGGGCTCAGCGTGGCTCTCCTGTCTCTGTCCTGTCCCCCTGCCAGACCCTTCTCAGTAAGGAGACCCCCCTCCACCCCCCAACCACATTCCCTGCAGCCACACTCCTAAGGCTCTGGGGTAAAACACCCTCTACCCAGCCTCATTCTCCGAATCACACTGCGTTTCCTTTGCTCCTCTAGACTGTTGCTGCTTCCAAGACAGTTAAAAAAAACTGGCAGATTAGGAAAAAGAAAAGGCATGAAATACAGGCCGGGGGGGGCAGAATATGTAAACCACCACCCTAGACGACACATTTGTGCTCTCAGAAGCCAGGAGGAACACTGCAGTTACAGAGCAAACGTTCAGCACACCCTGAAGTTTCCACAGTAATGTACAGATCAGAAAATGCTGCTGCAATGCCACCCTCTGGAGCAATCTGTTAACAGCTCAGGATGAGTACCGGGATCCTGCAAGCTGAAACCAGGCTGCTCAGTGACGAGAGAAGACTTGAAGGGGAGTAAACATGCTCAGTGACGAGAGAAGACTTGAAGGGGAGTAAACAGGACGGATTTTTTTTTTCCAGGTTTTGAACTGAAAGAGCTGGGCAGGGTTCC